ATAATTTTTTCTAAAAAATAAGTAGTGATATGTTAATACTTTGTATAATACGTAAAATATTAAAACTCACCCGTATATTTTTATTTTACTTTTACCAATTTCAAGTTAGTTTCCATTGATTACCTTATTTATTTTATTATTTTTGTATCATTTTAGTTACATTTCTCATTTTTTCATTTTTTATATCTATTATTTTTATTTTTTAAACTAAGACTAATCTTTAAAAAAGAAAAAGAAATGATGATGGAGGTAGAAAGTAATTCAAAAAATTTAAATAAAAAATTTCAAAAAAAATTAAAAAACAAAAATTCATCAAAAATAATCCCAACTTTCATTTTGTTGCCCAAAATGGGCATTTCCGTTAACCCTCCTTTAGACACTTAACGGCGACCCAAAATTGGCAAATTTCAGTAAAGTTGGGATTATTATGCATCACAGTGAAAGGTGGGATTATTTTTGAAAAACCGGGTAAAGTTGGGATTATTTTAGGTAATTTTTCCTAATAATAATAATAATTCTTATTATTATTACGGCCCGGTTCCATGACCACTGGATTTCAGTGGCCATAGAACCGGGCCGTATTATAAAAGAGAAAAAAAGAATGGGAATGGTCAAAGTGGAGGCTGCCACTTTATGGAAAAGGCAGTAGCCTTTGTTTTGGCTTCTCACGGACAGAATAGAGCGGCCGCACAGCGCAGAAACAGAGAGGAAAAAAGAGGGTGAAGCCGAGAGAAGAAAGGAGGGAGAAAAAGAGAGGTGCAGCCTGGTTTTGTGCTCCGATCAACGACCAAACGAGCTCCGATCGGGATTAAATTTTAGTATGTTGTTCCTGACATCATCTTCTTCATATCCAATGGTGAGATTGTTGTTTTGACCTCTCGATGTCGGTAAAACTGCCTCTGTTTACTGCTGCATTTTTTATTGAGGATTTCTCACTTTTGAGTGAAGATTATTGTTGTTTGATATTCCAAGTAATTACTTGATGATTGTGTGTACCTCTAATTAATTTAGAGAGGATTCTTGGTGTAACCACTGATTTTCTTGGTGATTAGTGGAAGGCTTCGTGGTTTTTTCCCCGATTTGGGGTTTCCACGTTAAATCTTGGTGTTTGTTTATCGTTTGATTGGTTGTTTGTTGTTGTGTTTGCTATTCTTGATCGGTCATATGGTTTTGCCCATTTTAACAATACAAAGACGAGAAAATTATTAATTGCTTCCGCTAGAAAATTGAGGTGATTTTCCCAACAACTCTGTCTCTAATTCAAAATTCTAACTTATTTTTTATTTAAAAGTAAAATTATTTTCAAAGGACATTAAAACATGAAGAACACAAAGATAAAATAAAATACGGAGTCAAAGAAAAAGACTGTTTTTATATTTTTCTTCTTATCATTACTTTTTTCAATTATTATTTTTACTTTATACATAATATTTTATTTTTCATTTTCTTTTGTAACGTTCTCCAAAAAAATCTTTTTTTCCAAAAATACATTATGGAAAATTTTAATTTGAGATGAGAAGCATAAATTTTATTTAATATATTTGTATAATAGAGGAAAATAAAATAGGGAAAATTCAAGATCGATGAAAAGAAAGGGCATAAATGTCATTTTTGTTTTAAAACTAGGTAAGGGGCATGTGTGTTCTATTTAGAAACCATAAGGACTTTACAAATAACTTTTGAAAACATAAGGGTTTTTGACGCCCTTTTTGTAAACCACGGGGGGCACTAATGCTATTTTCCCTTATTTCAAATTAAAAATCCAATTCTATTTTGGAACTTTAGACGTAGTTTTAAGTATGTAAATTTTATCCTTAATTGCTATGCGAAACTTTAATTAAAATAAATTCAAAAATTGAACATTTTGTACGCCATACATGACCACTCCAAAAACAATATTAACGGAGTATATATAGCAATATATTCCCTAGTTCCCTCCAAAAATTATTGTTTTCCCTCGAATTCCATGTTTTACTGAAATTATATTTTTAAATTATTTTATATGAAAAATAGTATAGAACGTAATTAAAAAATAAAAATTACATATTTAAGACTTATATTACAAGATATATAAAATTAGAGATGATAAAACTATAAAATTCAAATGAACTAGGAAATTCGCTAATTAATACAATAATATTTGATCTTGTGAATGATACGGAGTAAATAAGAAGAAAAGTTTTGGACAGCCGAGTACAAATAAAAAGAAATAGTGACGTGAGCGATTATTTGAGGCAAGGATAACATAAGCTTTCATATTTGATGTCAGCTGGGCCTCGATCACAATTATTTTGAAAAACAGCAATTGAAACAAACTTCTTACGTTAAACTAACGTGTTTAACAAAAATTAATTATTCTGTTCGGCCTAAATTAGCATGACGCCCGGTAGCCTTTAAATAAATCAATCCATACAAAAATAAGAGTCCACACTAGCGGTGGATATGGGCCTGTCGAACTCTGTATATTTAGCGATTCGATGATGATGATGATGATGATGATGATGATGATGATGATGATGATGATGATGATGATGATGATGATGATAATAATAATAAATTTGCAAAAAAAAATAGAATCTGGTATGAGGGAAATAAATATTGAGATCCGAATCAACCTCTTATCTTAGAGAGTCAAATTTAGTCATTGGACCACAAAGTTTTTGATATAGTAAAATGGTCCATGAACTAAACTATTTTTATACAAAATGAATGTCAAAAAATATTGTGAAATATTAACATATAATGCCAAATTACAGGCATGCATTATCAATACTTATACTTAGTCGATACAACATAAAAGTCTTATTTTTGTATAAACTTCATATTTTAATTGTATTTAGGTCGATTTTTTTTTCATTTTTGTATCTTGGTACTCTTGGATATACTCCCTCCGTCCCTTAAACTCCTTCCCCTTTCTTTTTTTTCTTGTCTCATTAACTCATTCCTTTATATATTAAAAAATCACTTTTATCTCTTACTTTTTTATACCCTACCTATCACATTATACCTTTTTACTAATAATTTATCCATCACATCTTACTTTTATCAATCACATGAAGGGTATTTTTGTAAAAGCAATACCAAAATATCCCTCCCTTAATTTCTCAAAAAGTCAATAAAGGAAGGACTTTAAGGGACGGAGTGAGTACTTTTTTTCACAATTTTTTTTCACTTATCTTTTTTAATAAAATATTTGTGGTTCATTTTTTAAAATTAGCTTTAAAATACGTGAAGCAAACACATGATTAATCAGAAACCAAAATAAAAAAATAAATAAATAAAAAGAAAGTAATTTTGTTTTCTAATTGATAATACTACTACTTGAGAAAACAGGCCATGTTCCATAATTCAAACTTAGAGTTAGGTGCAGTGGTTGTGGCCTTTACAAGCCACTCACGCCAAGTCATAGCTTGCTTCCTTCTAATAATTAATCAAGTCTATATATATATATATATATATATATATATATATATATATATATATATATATATATATATATATATATATTTGGTTCCTTTAAATGAAAGCTATGTATGATGATAATAGTTTGAATAACAACAAGTCACCAAAATCAAGCTATAGCTAGGGTTCAAATTCTTGTTAATAATCATATAGCTATAGCTCTCACACAAGATTCATACAATTAATTAAAAATATAACTAATTATGGTGTTGGTGGTATTTGAAAAGCAGTACATAGATTTATTGTTAGTCCCAAGTGGCCTTCTCTTCATGTTTGCTTATCACATCTTCTTGCTCTATAGATACCTCCACACCCCTCACACCACAGTCATTGGTTTCGAAAACAATGACAAGAGAGCCTGGGTTGAAAAGATCATGCTACAATCCTCCGACACCAACACCAACGCTGCCACCGTCACCACCGCGCTCGAGGTTCTCTCCTCCAACAACACCGGTGCCACTTTTCTCGCTACCGTTTGTTTGACACTCAGCTCTCTTATCGGAACGTGGATGGCCAATAATTCCACCATCTTTTGCAGTGACTTGATCTACGGTAATTGCAAACTTGAGTTTTTGTTGAGTTGGTTAATTTTATTCTTACTCTAGGACTCAAAAGATTGCCAGTCTGTCACGTGAGAGACTTGTTTGGTCTATAAAATTTGACCTTTCTAGGACCAATCACCAATGCCATCGTTGGTCATGGATGACTCTATTAGGCCACCACTTCGATTTGGCACTTAAACAACTTGTTAGACACCAAATCGATAAACTCAAATATACCAAAGACTAGACTTTTTGTCATACAATTGATGTGTGACAAGTCACATACCTTGCTAGTATAATGGTTTCAACTCGTACCATTTGACCCTCTTCAAAGGCCAACGTCGTCATTAGTCAGAGATGGCTCCATCACGCCATCCACTACTCTGAGTTGGCTATGATATCACTTGTTAGAGAACTACGGAGTATTAGAAACATCAAGGATAATAAGAAAAGAGAATATTATTCATACGGAGTATTTCTTTTCTTATTCTATTGCTTTTATAATTGTTATTCTACTGTGATTAATTAGAATTCTCTTTTGTAATTCTAATATAAAATGATGAAATTTGAATTACTCAATAAGACTATTTATTATCAAATAGCTAGTTTCATGCTTCGTTCAATAAGACTATTTATTATCAATCAGGTGACACGAGGCCGGCGACGATGGGAGTGAAGTACATAAGCCTGCTGGTGAGCTTTTTGTTGGGGTTTTCATGCTTCGTTCAAGCGTCGAGGAACTTCCTGCATGCCAACTATCTGATAAGCATGCCGGACGCCGACATTCCGACCAGCTACGTCGAGTCGGCGGTCATTCGTGGAGGAGAGTTTTGGTCTCTTGGGCTTAGATCTCTCTATTTCGCCATCGTTTTGCTGTTCTGGTTCTTCGGACCCATTCCCATGTTCGCCACCTCCATTGCCATGGTCTTCCTCCTCCATTATCTTGACCGGAACACCACGCCGTTGCACAATCACCGGCGATCTTCCGGCGGCCATGTAAAGCAACTCTTGTGACCAAATCGATCTACGTTATACAAAATCAGGTAATAAGATTTAGTATGTAGTACATTAGCATATCCTGTCTTGTACTGTATTACTCCGTATTATTTCTATCAACCTTTGTTTTCTTTTTTGATAAATAAATAAATGTATTTTCTACTTTGATGGATAATTGATTGCAACGACAATCATATGCCAATGTTAATTGTCATGTTGAATAATTTATTAATAATAAGTTGTATTTTACGTGTTAAACTTGAGTGATTTTTTAATGGTCCCGACCATGTTTAAATTTTAGTCCATCTCACATTTTTTATGGACTCGTACGTGATTTTTTTCTTTTTTTTACAAAAGGTACACTTCTTTTATCCTATTAGTGCACTAAAGTCTATAAAATAAACATTGACCTTAGATCCACGCAATAATTTGTCATGGTTTTAAAGTCAATGTGTGAAATATGAACCTTTTCACACATTTCATAGGCCGGCAAGTGGATTTTTTTGTAAAAGACTCAATCTTTTATGATATCAATGCAGTAAAATCCATAAAATGAACATGAATCTTAGATCATCTTTAATGATAGTTGTTTTACATTATTTTAATAAAGAAATACTTATATGGCTTATGACATGGAAGCACAATTGCTTGAATTTATTAGAGGGGTACACTAATGAATGCGCTTTCGATTTAGTTTGTTCGGAACAAAAAAGATACATTAGGAAGAAATTAAAGATTTCAAAAATGGTAGGGGTACACAAAAAGTGTAACCTATATGTACACCAATATATTCTCCACCACACATTTTTTTATGCGGATATGAAGAGAAATGAATAAAAATTTGTGGCGAGGAGTTTCGTGGTGTACAAATAGGGTACACGTTTGGAATACCCGTAACATTATGAGTTGAATGCACTGCATATCAATTCAAAACTAAAACAGAATTTGGAATTTTTTTCTTGAAACAAAGTACTCATCTAAAAGCAGAGCACTGATGAGGTTCCTTAGCGCGCCCAACGTTGCGTTCTGAAATTTTGTCTCGAAAAAAAAAAATGACTCAACACAATTAGGGGAGCATTGAACAAGAGATTTCCACGTCGAATGCATATATAGGTTGGAATCATGGTGTAATTATTGACCCTCAAAATGAGAGAATGAAGGGACGGTCTTGATAATTTCATCAAAGATGATTAAAAACTAAGCACCCTCTATCAAATTGAAAAGGTTATGATGCAACCACAAGTGTTTCAATATAGATGGTGGTCTTATTATATATCCTTGGACATAACCAGTTGAGCAACAAACCTTGATCCCAATTGATTGTTCAAATCCTTGAATAATTTTTTATTTTGTTAAAGCCTTGGAAGAATTGTTATGGCAGACCAAAATTCTTGATTCAAATCAAAGGGCAGCGTCAAGACTCGATTGAACGGCAAAACCCCCTCCGGCCTGGTGGACGGCGGATCGAATTTCTTCTCCTATTCGTAAGCTTTTTATGTACAGGTCAAGAATATTTATAAGCAGCTTGTAAATTCAAAAAAGAGTAATTTACCTCAATATGACTAAAACATAATGATATTCTCAATATAGGACCATATGTTTTTATTTTCCAATGTAGGACCATTGGTCATTATCTATTAGTCATTATTTAACTAAATGTTCAGCATCACTTGGATATTATTCTTCTCACTAATCATTATTAAGTCATATTTAAGGAATAAAAATGTTTAAGTCTTACATTGGGAAATAACTTATGTTTTAGTCCTATTCAGTGCAAATTTCACTTTAAAAAAATACGTCATCAGTTGACGTAGGCTTTGTTTGAGAAGAACGTTTATAATTAGCCTTAGCGTTTTGGATAAAATATTAACAGTATAGATTAATTCAGAAAAACAGTAAAGGCTAATGTCAGATAGTGTTTAGAAGAAAGACCAAAGTAAGACAAACATTGAAAATATATTAAAATAGGATTTTCATGTTTTTTTTTTCCGAAATTAGACTTAAAGTACATTTACATTACCAAACATGTTGATGTACATTACTAAAAAGTATATTAATGTGCACATGTACAGTGTCACATTACCACAGTGCAAAATCCTATTTCGAGAAAAAAAATATGAAAGTCTTATTTTGATATTTTTTTATGTTATAGTCTTATTTAGGGTAATTTCTAATACTCTTTTCAAAACGATAACGTTTACGTCTAACGTTGATAGTAACCCTATAAATTGAACATAGCTTATAAATATTTTTGACCCGTACATAAAAACACCGACTATGTATGAGTGCTCGTTTGACCTGACGCTTGATCCAATCTAAACACTTACTCCCTCCGTCCCTGAAAATCGGTCTCCTTTATTTTTTCATCCGTCTCAAAAAACACTTCTCATTTCTATTAAAAAGTCACTTTTACCCCTTACTTTTTCATACCCTACCTATCACATCATACATTTTTACTTATAATCTATCCATCAAATCATACTTTTACCCATCACATCAAAGGACATTTTTGGAAATTTAATATCAAAATACATTCCCTTTAAATCCCTCTTCAAAATCAAAACTCCCATGTTTTTTGGGACGGAAAGAGTATTTTGAATCGAAATGGATCATTTGGGACAAATGGGCCTCGTTGGGCGCATTCTATCCGGAGAGTGATTTTTGGCTACATCTGGAATTTGGGCCATCAATCACAACTTAAAATTAGTTTTTATTCTCCAACATTTACTATGGGCATGTTACACAGCATCTTGGAAATTAGCTTGAAAAGAAAATGGAAACCCCACCACTTGACACTTGTACGGAGTATATTTTTTCCGTCTTTTTCTTTATTCTTCCTCCAAAAATAAAGTTTCCTCACAACTTACTCCATTGATCTTCTATACATCACTGGACATTATTTCTCCTTCTAGACATTATTAAGTGCTATATAAAGAACTTAATGAGAGAATACTAATGAGAAAAAATATTTCTGTATATTGAATTGACTTGTGAATATAAAGATCTAACCATCTTTATATAGGAAAAGGCTAAAGCAAACACAGAACTAATATTCCTACTAAAATAAGAATTAAATAAACTAAGAAATATACTAAACTGAATTTCAAAAGAATTCCAAAGGAAAAGATACATCTTTTTGTTTTAGTTGAAATTCTTATTCCTATTAAAATAAAAATTAAGCAAAATAAGAAAGATCCTAAACCAAATTCCTTTTCGGATTCGATTTCCTTCTCCTAATATCTCACGCCAACAAGCTTAGATGATCCGAAGCGAGAAATTTTAAGTTTGAAGTCTCACTTCAATTGATAATAGCAATGTAAAAGTTTTATCTAACTTTTATTTAATCCACCAAATACAAAACGAACTCTAAAAAAATCAGACCAAAACTGTAACGTACCATATATAACTTTGTTAGGTCGGACCAAGTTGTGGAAAAAAAGAAGAATGAGCCCCATATCTTCTGAGGACTTCCTCAGACCCGGCCGGACAATTACTTTTGAAAGGAAGATCGAGTTGTTTAAAAAGGGTGGCTAACCCATCCTTTTTGAATTGTAGCCGTGACATAATGCCTTGCGTCAGGGCAGTTGACGTTACCGTCTCTCTCCGTCCCGAAATGAAAATATATAAACCTCAGTCCATCCCACATATATCCTCTCTCCATTTGCCTCTCCCTTCTTCCTTATTCTCAACCATGCACTACCCTTTTGTACCCCCTCATTTCCCCGCCGGCGGCGACGGCAGCGACAGCAACAGCAACTTCTCCCTCACATTCGCGCCCACCGCCAGGCTGGGCAGCCTTGTTTCGGAGAACGCGATAATCATGTTCGGCCGGCGAGGCTGCTGCATGAGCCACGTGGTGCAGCGCTTGCTCTTCGGCCTCGGCGTCAACCCCACCATTTACGACGTCGACGAGGAGGACGAGCCCACCGTCGCTTACGAGCTTTCCAGGATAATCCGCTGCGCAGCAGCCGGCGGCAATAACCCTGCCGCCGTCCAGCTGCCGCCGTTCCCGGCGGTTTTCATCGGCGGGAAGCTATTTGGCGGCGTCGACGAGGTTATTGCGGCTCATATTTCCGGCGATTTGGTGCCACTTCTTAGAAGAGCGGGTGCCCTCTGGCTTTGACTCACTAATTACTCATATTAAATTTTATTTCCCCTTTTGAGGTTGCTGGTTTATTTTAATCAAATATGCCCTCCATTTTATAAAATAGTTTCTATCTTTATTTCTTATGCATCCTAGTTTAGATTGTCCAAAAATACACCTTATTTATCCTATATTACAGTTAAAAATTATTTTGAGAGTATTTTAGACATTTCAAATTCAAAAGAAATATCTTGTAAAATGCCTAAAACATGAAGGAAAAACTATTTGAAAAAAAAACAGAGGGAGTAAAATATATTTATGGCTCAGACTTATTTTTGAGAGAAAAGATGAATATAATTTCAAGCATAATAACATCGTTGTTAAAGAAAGAAAATGTAACAAAATTTTGGGCGGATCATGTTTTTAAAAGGCACAAAATTGTGCGACAAAAGATGTACGGAGTAATTGTAATAATGTATATTGATTTTTTTTCTCTGTAGTAATTGTAATTTGTTGGTTTATTATGTAGCAATGAGATTTTTACTTTTTCTCTTTATATTTATTTATTAGGATTCTTGATTTGATTCATGAATATCAGTATATTATCACCGTTCACCTCGAATGTGACTCACTAGCTAATGGTGAAAGAAGAAGCATGTTTTGAATAAATAAATATAAATAAATAAATAAAGAACATGAGATGTTATTCAAAAATGAATATTTACGCCAATATTTAGAAAATATCGTACACGGAGGAATTTATACACATATGGAAATATTTTCAATACAATTATTACAATATAAAAGTTATAGTGTATATTTAATTAGGCTCACTGTTTTAGTGAATTATTGACCAAATTTGAGCAAAAAAAACAAAGCAATATCATATTTTGAATTGGAAAAATTAATTTCTAACTCTTTCAAGTTTTTCCAACTTCTTCTAGTTTCTTCAAACAATGACTTAAAAAATGTATTTGTATATGATAAATACGAGTATACAATAACATTATACATTCAAATTTATAACACATTACCTCAAACACAAACAATGATGCACTCTTCTTTTATCGAAAGTTGAAATTTTCTTTCATATTTGTTTGGGTGATCATTTAATCGAGGCTTTTTTAACACTTAAATTCTTCCACCTCTTTCCAACTCTTTTTTATTTTTTCCAAGCCTTTCTAGTTTCTTCCAACATCTAAGTATCTAACTCTAAAATTTCAACCCAAAAGAAAAGTATTAATTACGTCCTCCTCCTTTAGAGGAAGTAATTGGACACAAAATGTTGGGATTCCTACAAGTCCCACACCGAAAGTATATGAGTAAATGAACCAAAATATATAGGTTCAGCCAACCCCATTAGTATGAAGCCTTTTAGGAGGTGCTCAAAAACAAATCTGTGAGGCTTTACCCAGAGCATACAATATCATACTAATGCGAGGTTGGGGTCCTAACACAAAATACTAGTGGGAAACATTTCTCGGTAAAGCTAAGAAAAAACATGTTTTATGCATGACCAGTAATTTCTAAATTGCTCCAAATAGAATTTAAAAATGTACAGAGTAGTCTTTGATTTTTTCCAATGTAAGACATCCTAATCCTTTTTTATTTTCTTGAGCAATACATTTAATTAATTAAATACTTCATCTATTCTTTTTTAATTGTTTAATTAATTCATTTTAGGTGCTAAATGTTTGATCAATAATACTTGAGATACAGTGAATAGATAAATTGTGCTATGGTCTATGCTTTAAAATTCAATTATTAAGGCCCGCAGGAAGGGACGAAGCAACGACCGATAAAATATTGAGTTGAAAAAAAATACAAAAAAAAAAAAAGCTTACAAATCACAACTACAAATTTTTGGAAGGACTCTGGTTTTGGTGACGGAGGGGATGGGGAGACAGTGCGTGATGATGCGTGGACTTTAGGTACCAGACTTCTTCTTTTTTATAAATAAGCAAAACAAAAATATGAAAGGCAATTATAAAATACTCCGTATAAATAAGGAGTAATTTTGTTGGACGGGATATTAATATTGTCATCATCATCTATTAGCGGATATTTGTATATAGACTTTACCCTTCCATATTGGGCTCGGCCCGTTTCTGTAACTTGTATTTATACCAGTTCACGATTAATGAAATCCACATCAGCCATTTATCAAATTCTACAGGATATCGGAGCATTGTTGACTAAGAGGTCACAGATTCGAAACTCAGCACCACCCAATTTAAAAAATTAAGGTTTCATCGTTATCAATTAGTAGATATTTTTACTAAGCCTTTGTCTAAACCTATGTTTGATTTCTTACCGTGCAAGTTGAGCATTCATGATATTCTTGCGCCAACTTGAGGGAGATTGTTAGCGGATGTTTGTATATAGGTTTTACTGTAGCATATTGGGCTCGGCCCGTTTCTATAACTTGTATTTATACCGGTTCACGATTAATAAAATCCACATCAAACATTTATCAAATTCTACATTATCACCATCATCATCATTACTATTATTTTCTATTATCATATGGCATCTTCTTGCTTTAATAGGAATAGAGTTTTAGCAGTTTTAGAAGTTTACTTGTTTAATATTCGCTATTTCCTTAAAAAGGGTTGAATCTTTATAATCTCCAAATTATTGAATATACAGAATATTATTTTCTACAAGATATGAAAGCAAATAATTCAAATTCAACTATTAAAAAATAAGTTTGCATCGATTGTAAAAGATTGTTATGAACAGATTGCTCATTACAATAAAGTCAATAATACTTAATAAGGAGTAAAAAAATTTAAAATTGATTTGAAAAAAGATGGAACGCCCATCCCGGGCGCCCCAACACACTGGCCCGACAGGATTGTGAGGGCCATAAATCATAGCATAATCTCAATTTAGTCTTTAGAGAAGCCGCCCCATGCCCGGTGCGTATAAGGAGTTATTACAAGTAATAAAACTCTCACACTACTACTGTCGGGATTCGACCTTAGGATCAACGAGTTTGACATCCTCTTCTTAGACTAAGAGCTACAATTGATTCTAGAAAAGTGCCCAACTTGTGATTATTGATAGCAGATTTTCCAAAAAAAAATCAACAAAAAAAAACTCATCTTCTAAAATCATACTCCCTCCGTTCTCAAAAACACTTCCTCTTTCATTTTTTCTATTTCCAACAAAACACTTCCCTTTTCTATTAAAAAACCACTTTTACCCTTACTTTTTCATACCTACCTATCAAATCATACTTTTTCTCTAATAATCTATCCATCACATCTTACTTTTACTCATCACATCAGGGGTAAAATTGGAAATCAACTATAATTTAACACTTCCTTATTTTTGCCCCAAATCAAAATGGGAAGGGTTTTTCCAAACGAAGGGAGTATAAAAAAAGAGTACATTTGAATTTTGATTTGATCCTTTCTTTAGTTTAAGTTTTGATTTGAATTTGATTGCTTGATCTTTTTTTAGTTTAAGTTTTGATTTGTATTTGATTGCTTTATGTCAATGTTCCATTTCGAATAATAATAGTACATTAAAGAATTTAGAATCCGGAAAGTGTTTACTGATTGGGTAATAAGACATTTGGACTGAACTACATTAAAAGATTTAATTTAATCGATTACCTAACCCAACTCAAGAGCTTAAATACCAATTTATTCTCTTTAAGTTTTGATGTGAAATACTCTTTAATACTCCCCTTAAGTAGATAACTGGGCCATTTTGAATCTAACCGGTTTACCACTTGCAAATGTCCCGCCCTTTCAATGAAATGAAAGGATTGAAAGTGTCAACACCTAAAGGACCACGAGTCGCTGGGTCACAGGTCGTTTTCAATATGGACAACTGGCCTAAAGATAAATTGACCACTAGGAATGAATTTCTAGATGATCACTTTAACATATGAGTAAGTTAAAATATAGGCTCTCATACCATAAAAAAATTTAGGATTGAGAAAGGGTTACCGGATTGGTAATAAGATACTTGGGATGAACCACATTAAAAAATTGAATCTAATCAATTACTTAGTTTAACACAAGAACTTACATAGCAATATATTTTGTTTTTAAGTTTCGATGTGGGATACTCTTTAACAATACACGTTATGTTTTACTACCTCGGTTCTAAATTATTGACTTGTTTAATATTTTAGACTTCTGATTAGTAGTGTTTGTGTATAGGGCTATTCACATTTAGGTCCAGACCGAAAAAACCGACCGAACCGGACCGTTAGGTCCAGACCGAACCCGGACTGAATGATTTAGGTCCGGACCGATTGGACTGAATGGACCTAATGACCCTACTGGACCTAAAAGACCTAAATACTTACACAACAAATTGTACCTATTTGTACATCGCAGTTATACACAAACATTTTGATGGTTTACACCGACATAAATGTTGGTGCGTTAACAAAAATTTACACGGACACAAAGTGTTAGTGCATTAGTAAAAATTAGTTTTACACCAACACAAAATATTGGTGCAAATCTGTGGGGTACAAAAACTTGGGGTACAAATAGCTTGATCCTTATTTTAATTAGTTACATTCAAAGTGTGTTATATTTTGATAGGTAAAAATTACTCCCATTTTTTAAATAAATAGATACTCCATATTTGTTTGGTATACAAAATTGATAGAATTGAATTGAAATTTTATAGAATTGAATTGGATAAAATTGATTTCTCTCATTCTAATTTATTTTTCTCATTCCAATTTATTGGTTGCACTAGCAACTTTGATATCGAAGTTCCCAATTCTAATTTTAATCTCATAGCTTGAATCTGCAAACCAAACGAAGCCTCAATCAATGAAATATAAATAGAATTTTTATTTCAGATTGATAATTAGAGAATAAAATGCGTTCAAAATGCAATTTAATTTCTTATCGGCCTATCCCTATGCTACACATATCCATGATCATATTTTATCCTCATTGTCAAAAAGCCTAATTTCAATACTATCTTTTGTCTTAAGGGTCATGTTAGGATGCCCCGAACGGTTGCTATCGTACTGCATCTAAGTTTTGCTATCATCTGTGCGAAACTTGAGTGCACCAATGATAGAATCCCTTTGGAGGCACCTAAACATTTGCCTTGTCTTAAATTGTGGATGTGTACCATTTACTTTTTTATTCGAATTGAATAAACTTTCTTCGTCCTAAAATGAATTACATTCTTCACTATTCAGAACTCAGAAGTCATTAAAATTTTTATTTAGTTGTATGTTTTGATTGATTATTTGATAAAATAAAATATTCTTA